CAAAAAACTGTTCAACATGAAATCTAGATTGTTAGTTTTGCGGTCTCTCAAAAAGCCTGTTCCAAGACTTCAACTGTAACTTATCGATGTTTCGTTCCATAATTCAGCTGAGATATCCTGGATGTCAAAAACATTGGAAAAACCATGAAAAAACAACATCCAAATGCACGCGAAACATTCAACTCAACTGAGCATCAGGAATCCAAGATCCAGACGCCACAGAAACCACTGCGGGTTTCTATGTGCGTGCAGCCTAAAACAGACCAGATTGGGGTGTGACGTTCCCTGAATCTCTTGGATACTTATATAACTCTTGGAAACCTGTTTGGGAGAAGCGCTTTTGGCGACATCGTACCTTTTGTCCACTGAGGCAGCAGTCTGGAATGGGCGGAGCAAAACAAAGAGGCTCTCCATGTGGCATTTGCCAATTCTTTGGGTGCCCATCCTTCGGAAATTCGCGGCTTGGCGTTTCTCATTGTGCTGCAGATTGGATGTAATGTAGCAAGCAGATTTCAGGCTGGAGGCCCCTGTTGGTTGAGGTGTTGATGTGCTTCCACCTGGGGCTGCTGGACGCCGATTGCTAGCACAACTGGCCTTTGATGTTCGCATCACATGGTTGCTGGGAGTGCCTTGGCTAAATCCGGTTGAGGGTTTGGGGTGGCACCACTGCAATGCCAGCATTGGATCCATTGGATCCTTTGGCCTCAAGGCAATTCCTCAGCTGCGTCTGCAATAGATTGGTGATGATTGGTGACTCCAATGCCTCTCATCAGGCCTTGTTTTATTGCGCTCCACTGAGGATGCTAACACTACAAACAGATCTTCAGATGTTGCAGTGCAGGTGCCCATGGCTGGATCAGATGCAGAGCTGTTGAGAAACAGCGCTGCTTCAACTATGGTGATTGGAACACGAGTTTGATCTAATGTTCTTAATGTTTATTCAGCCATAATTTGAAATGAACTGAAGCCTGAGTGCAGGGAAACCTCTTTTTAAAGTGAAATCTGGAATTGAATAGTTGTGCTGGATAAACGACAGCTGATCTGTTTTCGCCCTTGTTCCATTGCACGGGCAAGTGGCCGAACGATTGGAGTTGTAGAACGTGGAATTTCAGAATGATGTTCAACGGATTTCAAGAGTGATACTTCATACAGGACAATTTTTTGCGAGCTGTCCCTAGGAACGCCACCGTTTTGGGATGTCTGATTTTCTGGTTCTCGCCCCAGCCTGCAGGAGCTGGCTTTGCTGGCGGACGCAACTTGGCCAATCAGGTGGGCCCCCAAATGATCATCTGCTATAAAGTTTACTATAAAGAAGACCCTCACAAAAAAGAGATGAGGGATGATGAGGGTTTGATTTTTGTTGATTCATCCGGGGTTAGCATTCCAAAATACAGCCTGGACTTTTGATTCATCAAGATCTGCATGCACAGTGGAGCTTCCTGCATCAGGACTTTTGAACAATTGATCTGCGGATAAAGAAAGATGGAACACCAGCTTCAGTGGCCTTTTTCCAGATCTCCTTTGGATTCTCGTACCATGAAGGTTAAGAGTTAAGAGTCAAGACTTACCCCTGGTAATGTTTTTCCCACCTTTTCCCCGTAGAAACCTCAGCTTCCCCTTCGGGATGTCTCCCATTTTCTACCGAGGCCGAGGGCATGTCACGCTTTGGGGAAGCCTTGCAAAGTGAGCTGAACGGCACCGACAGCCACCTCGCCGGCGTCGCCATGGAAGCCCTGAGCACCGAAGTCACTGGGAACCTTTTTTTTCACAACATGCTCCAACTGAAACTGCTTAAGCTGATCGAAAACTAGACATAACTATATTATATACTATATTATAATATAGACCTTTTCCACCCTTTTCCATCATTTCCCAGTGGGGTTTCTGATTCCACAGCTTTGGTCAGTTGAGGTATGAGATTTTCGAATTGTTGACAATGGTCATTTTACCATCTCCTTTGGACCAAATCCATCCAGCAAGTTTGCCTCTTGCCTGCTTTTTTTCTACTATGACTATGATCTTATTACCCTCTGGTAAACTAACATAGCTATGGAAAATCACCATTTTTAATGGGAAAATCCACTATAAATGGCCATTTTCAATAGCTATGTTAGTTTACCAGAGGGTAATTGATCTTCCTGGCCAGGTGATTGACAGCTACTCGGTGCCAGAGGCATCTTGGATTCTTGGCCCCTGGGACACCACAGCCTGCGACGCTGGGTGCGAAGGGGCAATGGAGGTGGTACAGCTCAGCTGCAGCCGTGGCTCCTGGCTGCTGTGCTCAGGCATCTCGAAGTCCATGATCATGACCGACTCAAAGAGATGTGCGGACATGACGAGCGGACAGTTTCAAGAGAAACATGGAGCATCTACTTGATGTTTCTTTACCTGAATGGCCAAAATTTGGGTGGTGTTCCCCCCCGAATTCATGGGAGTTCACTACCCAGTAATTGCGGAATCCCTTGAGGATGACTTGGGGCCTCATCCAGGCATCGACAAGCCCAGCACAGAAAGGCCGTGCAGGCAATGTGGAGAGAAAGCCCTGGCCGATGGCTCAGTTGTGCCCAAGAACCAATAGGGAATAAGTCAACACTTGTCAACGCCTGAAATACCATACTCTGATATATTTTGGAAGATGAACATCCAGAAAAAAAAACAGCTATTTTGCTTTGAACTACAGGGTACCTGGGTTTAAACCCATAGCATCCCATAGGATCACTTAGGGCTAAACCCATAGTTATCATAGGGCTCTTTTTTTTTGGAAGGCTTAATTGAACAATTATCATAGATCCATTGGAACCCATTGATGTTTCCCAATTTTCACTGTGACAATTGTGACAACTGTGACAACTGTGACCGGTTTGAGGCCATGCCTTCATGGATTTTGCCAACGGCTTTGTGTGTTGGCTTTTGTTGCTGCGGGTGGCTTCGCTCAGACGTTCCAAGGGATGAGGAAAACAGAAAACGACATCAGCACTGAAGAATGACCGATGATATCATGTGATTGCTAGTCATTTTGTTTTCCAAAAGAAATAAAAGAACAGAATATATATATATAATTATATATCATATATATATATATTTATCCATTGATTTTATCAACCAGAATCTCCATTCGTGCTCCATCTCTGGGCCTTTTGGTGATGGCTGGACCTGAAAGCAGGCAGATTGGGTAATCCATGGGCTTCATAGGCATAGCCGGCATAGCCGTGGTATGGTGCAGATTGTATGTGCGCAATAGCCATAATCCAAAATCCAAATTTATGTGGGATATAATCACGGAGCCAATTTATCGCCTGATCGCCTATTGACATTTTTATTCAGCACTTGCCACTGGGGATGCACCCCCAAGTGCCTTGAGGTTTAAAAAACAACGCCCTGCCAAGGCTACTGGGTGCTTGCCTCGCCCGTCACTTCATGCCAAATTTACTCTCGCGAGTCATGCAACCGCGACAGTCGGAGTCCGAGAATCTCCGAAATGCCAATCCAAAGGCCCAGCCGCAACATGCCACATGCCGCAATATGCTGCAACCAGATTTAATAGGGAAAATAGACGCATCCCAATATTACTGATATTGCTACTCCACTATTGTTGTTGTTATTATTAGTACTACCATTATTATTATTACTATTATTATTATTATTACTACTATATATACTATTCTTGCCATTGCTATTATTATTTTTATTGTTGTTGTTATTATTATTATCACTATTAAAAATTATTATTTTGCCGCTAGTAGACTTTAACTTGTATACCGTGTAAAAACAGTGTCAAGACAAGGGGAAGCCTTCGCGCGAGCCTTTGACTGCCTCAATGTGTGCACTCTTGTCATTGTTCTAGCCTGTTTATCTTGCTGCAGAGACCAAACACACTGTAGATTCTAAAACTTCAACATGATGCTCTCACCAATGTGCAACGGGGAAAGCCAAAATACGTGTGATATTGGATGCGTGGAGCTACATCATTCCATGCAAAATGGCGGTTTTCAATGACAAGCGTCGGCGATTTTTCTACGTCACTTGAGCCTGGAAAGCCTAATTCTGACTGCTCTCAAGACCAAAAGATTGATGCAAATTGGATGCCGGCCCCAGCCACAAATGAAGATCGCTTTTGCAGCATTACCTTATGACTAGGGGCTCCTTCCAAAGTCCAGCTTCCCTCAATTCGGGAGAATCCACCAGTTGGGGAACAGGGAATATGCTACGACCAAACAAAGCCCATGTGCCAGGCCAACGTGCTGCAGCTCAGAAGCAAACGGTTCTGTGTGGAGCCAGGTTTTTTCTGTTTTTGTTGGCCCCTTGCAGTCCTTTAATCTCTTGCAGCGATGTCAAGTTGCTGGCAACTGAGTGTTTGTGACCTTCCAGGTTCTCCATATGTTTACCCTCGGGCAATTGAACATAGCTATCATAACCCATCTAAAGATGATTTGACTATTAAACAATGGATATTTCCATAGCTATGTTAACTTACCAGATGGTATATAGACAATATGTGGTAGTACGATGTGATATCTGCTCATCAGCGAGGTCCGTGGACGGCGTCAACTCAGGCAGGATGACAAAATCGATCATGTGGTAAGGCTACTAGCCTTCGGTTCCACTTCTTTTGAAGGAAAAAGAGGATGCATCTCTTCAAATGTCTTTCTGTCAGCCTTCGTTTCGGAACATCTGTTTGGATCGCACCTGTGAAACAGCTGATTTGCGTTGATTTGAGAGCATAGAAGAGACCGGAATCCACTTTCACCATGCCATTCCACGCGCCCTTGTGAAGACCCGGATGACATGGCCGTCATAAAGCATCTCAGCACCATTCGGCCTACTCTGACGCGGGGAAGTTCGTTACTTGGCGCGGCATCTCCACTTTGCTTTCGTTGGCATGTTCCCATTGAAATTAGTTGGATGGACTGGATGATCTGGATGGATAGCCATCAAAATGATTCCAATTCAATATTTGGAACCCATTTGAAGGGATCCTGAAGCATCCCATTTTGCTCAGAGTTTGTTTTTAGGGAAAATTGAAACTGGACACACAATGACACACCAAAAATATTTGAGGGTCAAACAGAAACCGAGGTTTCAACCGTAGATTTTTCATTAGCCCACCCATTGAATTTTGGGATGTACCATCCACGGCTATCCGGGCTGAGGCGTTGCAGGGAGGCGGGTGTGACAATTGAAGAAGAAGATGAAGTGCAACCTGCGAAGACCAGAGTGATCTGGAAGCTCGGATGGTGTTTTCGGCAACAGTGGAGGTTGTCCTCTAAATGGACACAAGGACAAGGCATATCTGAGCAGACGATTTTCCAAAGTGAAAACCAGTGGTTTTCCATATCGTTTTGTTAGGCTAAAACCGAGAAAGACCAAGTTTTTTTTGGAGTGGGTATTGCTCAAAATGATGACAACAACTATTTCGGAATGGTGAAGGATAGCCCAAACAACTTTTCCAAGTCCATTATATAGTACCTCATTTTGGAATGTTTTGGAGCCATACCCACATTGATGCTGAAGTTCCAAACTGAATCACTGTTTTTGGCATCTGAATGAAACAGGTGTGCAACCCGACCAGCCATTAAGAGCCCATCACTTCCACGATGAGCAAAGCTGGCCATGGTAATTAGTAAGATCCCATTGTCCACGGGGAATGATCATCCATTCTTGATAGGAAGATCATTTGCATTTCTGGGCAGATTCACCATGATCACTTTTCTTCAAATTTGGTTGGCAAACAGATCCTGCAGGTTCGCCTGGGACAGCCACATTTGTTATTCTTCCCAGTCAGAGTGTCCAATTTCAAGGTGGACAACCCTTTTCCCAATTGGATTTTGGTAACCAATTGCCGCCTGAGGGACCTGGACTTGAAGAAGATCTCCAGCGGCATCACTGGCATGTTCTCCTCCAAGAAGTACTCCTCGCATGTGACACCTGAGAGTCGGCTCCTGGGTACAAAAATTGAAAAGGGGGACCTCAGATGACTGGAGCCCACTGGTGGCGTGCTGAAATGTCAATGTATACGCCTCTAAACATGATGCGATGCGATGTTTGTGTAAATGTAAACACACATGTACACATGAAGCACTCGCGAAGGCGGGGTCATGAGCTTTTTGCGTGGAGACTGTAAGACACCCAAATCTGAGACATGTGGTGAAGGTATGTCTGACTCAATGCCGGGTTTGGAGTGGAAACAGGTGTTCTTGCATTCAGCTTTTGGAGTGGAGACCGCTAAAATCCCAACACAGCACAGTCAGACTTTCACTTTTCTGTACCAGCAGAGTCAAGTTTCGTTCTTTTTTTCAGATTCTCTGTAGCGACAAATGGAGTGCCAACACTATCCAGCACTTCATTTTTTGATTTATTCCCATCATTCCCATCATTCCCAGCCTTGATTTCAGGAAAGCCTCCAAAGCTCCTTGTTCGCCCCCTGGAGCTCCATGCTGTGTCTCCGTGGACGCGGAAATCGATGAGGCGGACCTGGAGAACCCCGTGGCCATGGAACCCAGCTGGGTCTCAGCGGCGGGGGAGGTGAGGCACCATGGCAAGAAGTGCCGGGATGTGCCGGGACGCGCCGGGTTGTGAGGATTTCATGGGATTTGCCCAGCAAACATTGGGGATTTCATGGGGGTTTCCATCCCTCATCATCCAACTACCAAAGACCATCAAAGACCCATGAGTTGGGAGTTGGAAGACCACTTTCCTGGGGCCGATTCGGGATGGCTTCGGGATGCGTCCTGAGGATGCCAATTCCAGTGCTCTCGCGTTCAGAGCGATCGCTACGCTCACAACACTCCAAAGGGACCTTGTTGCTTGGCAGGCTGAGGACACACACAGAAAGAAGTCCAACTGCTCTCGGGCTGGTTATTTTGAACTAGTAAGTAAGTTGATTTATAATGATTTATATATTTTTAGGGCTTGTAACTTTGACCCAAAGAAATCTTAGCTGATCAGGAGATTTTCAGGTGCCAACGAAGGCCTTTCCAAGAGTGTAATTATGAGGACATCTTAGCCATTGGGATTCCGTCTCGAGCTTGCAGATTGTTTGAGATGCGTCGTTTTTGGATCAACCCATCCATCTGTTTGGGAACGACTTAAGCCATACCGAATTGGATTTCCAAAGAGTCTAGAGGATCATCAACTCTTCAGAACTTTGGACTTCTGTCGTTTCCGAAGACCGAGTGATAGCCTCACACCTCTGGCTTTCTAGATGTATATAGATGTGCAGTTCCAGCTTCTGGAAAACACCAATCTGCAGCCACAGGTTGAACGCGCCCTGTGGGACTCCGGTGAACAAATCAGAGACTGAGCGCACCCTGAAACGCACCATCTTATGATGGAGACGCTAGCCTTTGCTGTGGATGATGATATTTTATTGACCGTGGGCAACAACTCACAGCTTTCTCCACAAGACACCTGAGAAAGACGATTGGCTCGCATAGAATTCAGGTTAAAGCTGCACCTGTGGGTCAGATGCACGGAAGTGGAGATGTTCTGCCGTAGGACTGCAATCTAGTCGTCTAGCGATAGCTTCGGACGATCAATTTTCTACACACCCAAATAGGATTGTACCCAATACTGTGCTTCTCAAAGATTGTCAGTCCATGACTGTTGTGGCAAAAAGTGATGACAGGTCAGGTCAAACATATTTAGAAAGGCATCGCAACCCTGGGAAATTATTTGCCATACCCAAGTTCCACTTAGTGCAAGTAGCGGCTTTGCTCAGCCCGGAGAATCACCGATAGATGACTTAAGCTTGACTGCAGCACTGGCAGGGCGGAATATCCTTTGCCTTCTGGTTGTCTTCCAAATCAATAAACACATCATGTAAAATTGGCAGTCAGCTCCGACATCGGATCAAACATGGTACTTCTAGATGAGAGGTTTCAATTCAATCCTCCAAATGACCAACGTTTATGGTTCTCAGTGTCTTTCAATTCCAACAAACAGAAAGTCTCGATGAAAAGCTGACGAATGGCAGATACATCACAACTACCGTTGTTGGCCCACTCCCTCTTCGAAGAGTCGTAAACCTCCAAGAGGAATGCTTTCTCTTCGAAAAACTTGTACAGGCTCAAGCTATACAGAAAAAACCAGCTATTACAGTTACAGCCTGCCATGCTGGGACCACGGTTTAGGGCAGCTGTGAAACCACCTGGCTCAGCAGAAGCACAGGTGTGTTTTGGATGGGAGGCATCTTCTCCGCCCCACCGCTGGCTGCCGCCTGCGAGTGTTGGGTGGATGAGCTCTGATCCGAAGCTTTTCTGCTAGGACGGTTGCTGTTTGCCACGGGTTCCAATGTCTAGCTGCGAACCTGTGCCACAGACACCCGTTCCGACTCGAAAAGGGATGGGATGAGCTGGAGGCCATCAAATTGCATTGGGGTGCTGGAAATTGCACTTTTCCGTGTGTGATAAAGTGGGGTAGTGCCAGTAATTAAGTACATGGCTACGCGCTATGGGCTGTGGGTCAAATTTTTTATGCGCCGGAGGACAATTTTTAGGAGACCTCCAACTGTGGCAGCGCATGATGTTGGGAATTTGAACGATTTAGCAACAGCAGGATGAATGGCGGAAGCAATTGAGCTTGGAAACATTTGGAAACCACTTTGAAGATTGAAGATTTTCATAGATTTTCTATCAGATTGATATGCTTGAGACAGAATCCTTTCACTCCTCATCCTCGTCCTTGTCCTGGTTCAAGTTGCGGAAGTCATAGAAATTGCGCCGCTCGCGCAGCGCTGATGTGTCCACGAGCGACAAAGTGCGAAGAAGACGCTTGGATGCTCTGCGGGTCAACAATGGTCAACACATATGGCACCATTTCGGACATCACCAGGGCTCCAGGTTTTGACCTGTAGCCATGCTGTTTGAAGATAGATATACCGATATACCACTGGAACTGCCAAGTTCCAGGGTCTCATACCCAGGTGACGCCGTGCTCTAGTGATGTTGCCCGGCGAGTTATGAAGCGACGCACGTCGAAATGCCGGGTTCCACGAGGTAAAGTGGGCCTGTCACCCGTGTCGCTTGGAAGCCGAGCAGAGAAGGTTAGCTTGAAGGGCTCTGAACATTTGCATCTTTGAGACAGGCAGAGGTGAACACATTACAACCAGGAAGCTGGGAAAGTGAAGAGTGCGAGAAAGACTTCTAATGTTGCATCGAAGCTGTTGAAATTGTTGCAGTAATCAAAAAAAAATGGCAAGGAAGAATCCAGCGGTTGGGATTTTGGAAGATCCTGGCGATTTTCGGACTCCAAGAAATCAGTAATTGTTGTTCTTTGATGCGGGGGAAATCTAAGGCAGGCTCCTTTGCTGTGGCTTCTGCTAGGGAGCTCTGTGCACTTCTTCACCACATCGGCCTCAGCTGTCGTAGAGATGTGTCTACTGCCTGAAAGCTCCGGTTGTAATCCTGGGTATCGAGGCTGATAAGTCATAAGTCAGTCATAAGGAACAAAGCGGGTCTTAAACAATGGTAGACAACTGACCGCCAGTTGTGTAGTGCGAAGAAGTATTACAAGATATTACAAGGAATCCTCATTATGTGTATTATATATATAAAATTATAGATTATATAATTATATATATTATATTATATTATATATAATGGATATGATATATAATATATAATATATAATATATAATATATAATATATAATATATAGTATATAATATATAATATATAATATAATATATAATATATCATTTAATATATATAAAATATAGTATATAAAATATAATATATTATTTCTAATATCACAAAAATAATATATAATATATAATAGATAATAGATAATAGATAATGGATAATAGATAATATAATAGATAATAGATAATAGATACTAGATCCTATATAATCGATATATATATATGTATTATATTATGTAACCTAATATAGTATAATATAATATAATATATAGTATAATATAATATAATATATAGTATATTAAATATTATATATTATATATTATATGTTATATATATATATTATATATAATATATTATTATATATTATATTTTATATATAACATATAATATATAATAATATATAATGTATAATGTATAATATATAATATTTAATATATAATATATAAAATTTAATATATAATATATAATATATAATATTTAACATATAAATATAATATACAATATATAATCTATGATATATAATCTATAATATATATAATATATACTATATAATGTATAATATTTAATACATAATGTATAATATATAATGTATAATGTATAATATATAATATTTAATATATAATATATAATATTTAATATATAATATATAATATATAATATTTAATATTTAATATATAATATGTAATATATAATATGTAATATATAATATATAATATATAATATACAATATCATATATCATATATCATATTGAATATTTAATATATAATATATAATATATAATATATAATATATGATATGATATGATATGATATGATATGATATGATATGGTATAATCGAAGGAAGTTTGGAAGTCAAACTTCTGACAATATGGAGAGATGAAAAAGCAGTCAGCAGGGAGAAGAGTCAGAAGAGAAAAGATCAGAAGAAAGAAGATGCAGGTGCGCGAAAAGGTAGGAAAGTCGCGAAACACTGTTTTTTCGTGGTTTTGTGGCTCCGGAGGGTTGAAAAGTAGGCTCGCTAAAGCGGCGGGTGCGGAGACATCAGGGGAGATGAGAGATGAAAAGTTGCACGCCGTTGTGGCGCGAAGCACATTTCGAAGTCAAAATGTACAAAGCACACCATTGTCGGACCACTTTTGGAAGTTGAGACGTCGAAAAAGTGCACGCCGTTGTGGCGCGAAGCACATTGCGAAGTCAAAATGTACAAAACACACCAGGTCCGGACCACTTTTGGAAGTTGAGATGTCGAAAAAGTGCACGCCGTTGTGGCGCGAAGCATCATGTTGTAAGTAAAATGTGTCAAAAACTGAGGGGTCATGACCACTTTTGGAAGTTAGATGTCACAAAAAGTGGCACACCGTTGTGGCGCGAAGCACATGTTTTTCGAAGTCAAAATGTACAAAACACATCAGGTTCGGACCACTTTTGGAAGTTGCGATGTCGAAAAAGTGCACGACGTTGTGGCGCGAAGCACATTTCGAAGTCAAAATGTACAAAACACCACATGTTTGCGCCACTTTTGGAGGTTCAGATGTCGAAAAAGTGCACGCCGTTGTGGCGCGATTTCGAAGTCAAAATGTTAAAAGCACCAGGGGTTCGGACCACTTTTGGAGGTTCAGATGTCGCTTCGCTTCACTACACTACACTACATTACACTACACTACACTCCACTACACTACGCTCCACTACACCACACTACAGTACACAACACTACAACTACAACTACACAACTACACTCCACTACACTCCACTACACTCCACTACACTAAATTACACTACACTACGCTACATTACACTACACTTCACTCCACTCCACTACAGTACATTACACTACACTGCACTACCTTCCACTACACTTCACTACATTACACTACACTCCACTACACTACAACTACAACTACACAACTACACGCCACTACAATACAGTCCACTACACTCCACTACACTAAACTACACTACACTACACTACATTACACTACACTACCTTCCACTACACTTCACTACACTACACCACACTACACTCCACTACACTACAACTACAACTACGACTACACAGCTACACTCCACTACACGAAATTTCACTACACTACACTACATTACACTACACTACATTCCACTACACTCCACTACATCCCACTACACTCCACTACACTACGCTACATTACACTACAATACAATACACTGAATGACACTGCACCACAGATAGACAGGTAGACAGATAGACAGATAGACAGATAGATAGATAGATAGACAGACAGATAGATAGACAGACAGATCGATAGATAGATAGATAGATAGATAGATAGATAGACCGACAGGTAGACAGCTAGACAGATAGACAGATGAAAGAGAGAGAGAGAGAGAGATAGATAGATAGATAGATAGATAGATAGGTAGATAGGTAGATAGGTAGACAGGTAGATAGGTAGATAGGTAGATAGGTAGATAGGTAATTAGATGAAAGAGAGAAAGAGAGAGATAGATAGATCGATAGATAGATAGATGCATAGAAGATAGGCTGGTAGGTAAGTAGATAGTCAGAGAAAGAGAGAGACAGACAGGAGACCTCAAGCACCTTTCGGTCCATCAGTGGATTCGCTTTGCCATCCCTGATTCACAACAACCAACCTCTCCTATAGGTTTCCTACTTTTGAAACTTCCGCCATCGCCTTGTGCGGTACTACTGATGTAACATAATATAATATAATATAATATAATATAATTAATATAATATATTATATAATATAATACAATATAATATAATAAAATATAACATAATATAATATAATATATTTTAATTTAATATAATATAATATAATTAATATAGTATAAAATAATATTATATCATATAATGTATGTATA